TCCCACGCTCGGCGTCCCGGGTCCAGGCACGGACCCGGCCGGGTCTGACCCACTCCCTTCACCTGGCGCTCACAGAGCCAAGCATGCACCAGGCTCTGTGTGGACCCTGGGCGCCCACTCCCGTTAGCCCCCTGCCGCAGAAACTCTCCCCATCATGGACGAGAAGACCAAGCGCAGAGAGCGAGGGGGCCACATGCACCCTAACCCAGTCTGTCCCCAGCCCGGGTACCGTCAGACACGCCTGTCTGCTGGGCGCCTCCCACCCGCCTCGGCCAGCACCGAGCTTGTCCGAGGTTTCCCAGGCTGCCCCTGGGGACGCCACCGATGCGGGAAAAAACATGAAGTTATCTTTGACTTTTATGGCCCCCTTTCCCCTATTAAAATGCTTAAAGCTGTAACTGTCATCATAAGGAGCTCATTTATCTTGACCAGAGTGCGGCCATAAACTATCCGGGGCTGGTAGAATAGCCTCTGAGGTGATTGTTTCATCTATCGATAAATTCCGACATGGAGCAGAAAGGTCAGTCCCTGCCAGATAAAATGTCTCTTCAGCTTGTTAATTAAAGGTTTATAAGGATGTGGAAGAATGCGCTCTGGGCTAAGCCTTGGAGCGAAGGGGAACAGATACCTGGCGATGGGAGGATGGACTGGGGAGGACAGGGGCTCTGGTGATCCTGGAGGAAACCCGCGGTTCCCGGAAACCTGCTCAGCAGCCTTTTTGATTAACTCCTCCCCAAAGGCTAGGACTTCAGGCTTTGACTTAGGGAGTCAGCCGTGCCTCTTCTGCCCCCCTGGCACACAGGGCACCCTGCAGAATGCTCCCTAAAGAGTCAACAGGCACTCTGAGTCCCAGGCAGTGGCATCAATGCCCTCGGTTGGAGTCAGGCAGTATTGTAGTTCGTGGATTCAGCGAGTGGATGATTATTCTGTGATCATTCCGCAGGTGTTCACTGTTTCCCCCGTGGCGGGCCATGTTTCTTTTTTGGTCACCGAGTATTTGAGAGTGAGGTCAAAGTAAAGCTCCCCCGTCGCCCCCACCCTCTGAGTCACCCCAAGCTCGGGGGTTCTGCCCCTCCAGCCTCTGCCCACGCCTCTCCTCGTGGTCCCTCCCTTCTCCTCCCTGGCTGTGAGTTTCTCTGCGTGGACAGAAGTCACCGGCGTGTCTCAGGTCAGGAGAGACGGCTAAGCACCGACCTGCCCTGAAGGCGTAGGACCACGGATGGTGCTGCGTGCAAGACGCACGGACACAGGGCAGAAGAGGAACCCAGAGGGGAATTCACATGGAAACACAGGACGCATGAGCCCAAGTGGGCGCCAGAGAATCAGGTAGCTGGTGCAGTAGCACACCCAGAGTCGGACGCACGGCAACCCTCACGCCTTTCCGTGCAGATACGCAAGGACTGGAAAAACATACAGATGGCGTGCAACACTCGCCTGGAGGGCTTGTTCGGGGATTGCAGCCAGAAGGGAGTCCCCGGGGAAAGCAGCGTTGTGCCTGTTCTCTGACTTCTATGGGTGCTGGGCATGGATTTGCCCTTGCGGTCCTGCGGCCCCGGGGTCTTCTGTGCAGGAACCCCTGCTTCCAGGGTGCAGCACGGCCCCACCCACGGATGGAGCCAAGTGCCCATGTGGGCCTTTTGCCACAGAACCTGCTGGAGGGACAGGCTGGTTTCTTCTCGGCCTGCAGTCCCCAGGTTGGCAGAATCGCCTGGGAGTTTATTTAATCGAATGGTGCTCCCTTGGTGCCTGCTGCTCACCTGTGCAGCTCTGGGCTGGGGCCTGGGGGTTGACAGCAGACAGGTCACTGGTGATGCTGGATGCAGCAGCAGGTCCAGGGGTGATGCTGGATGCAGCCGCAGGTCCAGGGGTGATGCTGGATGCAGCAGCAGGTCCAGGGGCACCGCCTCCTACATACATCCCTTAGCAAAAGGCGGGCAGAATCTTTAAAACACGGGCATTGGGCAGGGCTCACTACACTGTGCTGGAAAGGGGAAAACGACGTGGTGGATTGAGACACTTCCTCAGAGTGACCGTGTTTGCTTGGACGCTTTCAGCATTGCATATAAAGCTCTATTCCAGCAACTGTCCATGGTGAATTTCCAGCTAAATGTGGATAATTTGGCTCCATGCAGAGAGGCAGGCAGCTGGCTGGAAGGGCATGAACCTCAGTGCTTTGTCCACTTGGGGCAGGTTGGAAATTCCAGAGGAGGGAGGGACCACCCCACCGTAACCAGGAGAAGCAGCTCTGTGGGTTGCGGGGCCTCTGTCATCTCATCGGGGAAGGATGATACTCCTTCCAGGGACAGAGAGCTTTAAGGGGGAAATAGGGAGGGAGTTTATTTTTAGCCGCTTTGTTAGAATAATATATACAATAAAGTGTTATATTTAAAAAGTTCAAGATGTTTGACATAGGTGTCCATCTGTGAAACCACCACTAGAATCAAGATGTTTGACATAGACATCCATCTGTGAGACCACCACTAGAATCAAGATAGAAAACACACCCTTGACCCTCAAACGTTTCCCTAGGCCTTTGTAGTCCCTTCCTTTCATTCTCCCATCTCGAATTTCATGTAAATGACATCATACAATAATATGTATCCCCTTTTCTGACTGGCTCCTTTCATCCAGCAAAACCGCTTTGAGACTTACCCGTGCTGTGCATATCAGTTGCTCATTCCTCATTCCTTTTTCATTGCTGAGTAATATTCCGTTGGGTGGATATGCCACAGCTTGCTCATCTGTGGACCCATTGTGGACCCGTTGACCAACATCTGGGCTGTTCCCAGTAGAGCTTCTGGGAACGTTCCTGAACAAGCCTCTCTATGGACATGTGCTTTCATTTCCCTTGAGTAATGTCTAGAGGCAGAATGCTTTAGTTGGGACTGCTACAACAAAAACACCATCAACTTGGGGCTTAAACAACAGACGTGTATTTCTCAGAGTTCTGGAGGCTGGGAAGTCCCAGATCAAGGTGCTGGCTGATCTGGTTTGCAGTGCAAACCCTCTTCCTGATTTGTAGATGGATGCTACCTTTGTCCATTTTGGCTGTTAGAACAAAATGCCACAGACTGCGTGGTTATTGTACACAGAAACTTACTGGGACTTCCTTGGCGGTCCAGTGTTTAAGACTCTGCCCTTCCAATGTGGGAGGCTTGCGTTCCATCCCTGGTCAGGGAAGTAAGATCCCACATGATACACAGTGCAGCCAAAACTGGAAGGAAAAAAAAATGTTTTTATGAATGAGTATTAAACTTTATCAAGTGCCTTTGAGACATCCAGCAGAGATGATATTTTAAAAAAAGAAAGAAAAGCTTATTGCTCACAGTTCTAGAGGCTGGTAGTTGGAAATCAGAGTGCCAGCATGGCCAGGTGAGGGCTTTTTCCAGCTTCAGACTTCTCCCCTGGGGGGAGGGGCTAGAGTCGCTGCAGCCTCTTTTATAGGCATGGATCCCATTCATTTCATCAGGAATCCTCCCTCCTGGCTGAAGCGCCTCCCAAAGGCCTTGCCTTCTAACACCATCACTTCAAGCTTTAGAATTCGAACAAGTGAATTTTAAGGGGATGCTAATATTCAAAGGTCTTCCTTGGTGTCTCAGACAGTAAAGAATCCACCTGCAATGCAGGAGACAGGGGTTCGATCCCTGGGTTGAGAAGGCCCCTGGAGAAGGAAATAGCTACCAACTTCCATATTCTCGCCTAGAGAATCCCATGAACAGAGGAGCCTGCCAGGCTTCAGTCCATGGGGTCGCAAATAGTCAGATACAGACTGAGTGACTAACATTTTCACTTTAAACATTCAAGCCACTGCAGACTCCTTGCAGTGTCCTCACGTGGCAGAGAGGGGAAGGAAACCCTCTCAAATCTCTCCTTACGAGGGCACTAATTCTGGAGCGCTTATCTAGACCATCTCAATTCCTGAAACTGAGGGGGAGGGAGGGAACGAAGCCTTTTAAAAAGTTATTTCAATTGTTATTTACAATTAGTTTTATGTTGTGACATCTGATTCAAGGCTAGGTTTAGGAAAGAAGCGAGGTCTCTCGTTGTGTCTGTCTGAAGGGCTTCCCAGGCGGCTCAGTGGTAAAGTAACTGCCTGACAATGCAGGAGACGCAGGAGGTGTGGGTTTGATCCCCGGGTTGGAAAGATCCCCTGGAGGTGGTGATCACAACCCTCTCCAGTGTTCCTCCCTGGAGAATCCCATGGACAGAGGAGCCTGGCGGGCTGCAGTCCCTGGGGTCACAGAGTCAGGTGTGACTGACCGAGCATGCACAATCCCATCGAGAGGGCTCCACGTTCATGACCTGGTCACTCACAAAGACTCCATCCGTGAAAGCATCACGCTGAGGATTAGTGTTTCGACACGCACGTTCTGGGGGACACCAACATTCAGTACATAGCAATACACATATACTTAACTTTTTATGAAACTGCCAAGCTGTCCCAGTGTGGTTACACCAGTTTATGTTCCCAAGAGAGGTGGACGGACTGCTCCACATCCTCACCAGCCCTGGACGCGGTCAGCTCTTCTTATCGTCGCCCTCTGAATGGGTGTGTAGTGGTATCTTACTATCGTTTAATTCATATTTCTCTAGTAACTCATGGTATTTAGTATCTTTTCATTAGCTTAACTTATTTACCATCAGCATATCGCTTCAGTGATCTGTTCTGTTCGAATCAGTTTTTAACTGGGTTGTTTGTTTTCTGATTAGTGGATTTTGGCAGTTCTTTTATATATTCTGTGTACCGGTCTTTTTATCAGGTAGGTGATTGGCAAAGTGTTTTTTTCCCCTTGTCCGTGGCTCATTTTTTCATTCTCTTAATAACTGTCTTTCCAACTTCAGTTGTTTTTGAAGTTCAGTTGATTAATTTCTTATTACGTGGACTGTATCTTTCGTGTTGTATCCAAGACCCTGTGCCTGACCCACAGCCCCCCAAATTTCCTCCCGTGCTGCGTCCCAGCACCCCGTCCCTCCTGAGCCCGCCCTCCGCTGTCTTCCAGGCTTTGGGAACCATCACTGCAGTGCCTGTCACCGGTCCTCAGGTCAGCTCCTTGCAGAGGTTGGCCGGGCAAGGAGCAGCAGTGCTACCTCAGGTGAGCGGCCTGCAGTGGGCCCTGGGGTGTCTGTCTGTCTGTCTGTCCACAGCCCCTCAGCACTGAGGTTTTAGGTGCAACCACAAGGGAGTCCCTTTCCTCTCGTGCCTCCTCAGCCCACCCTCCAGAGCAGACGTTTGGACTAGACCCCACTTTTCACACACGGAAGAACTGAGAAATCAGTTTAGTGGGTCATGACTAGGATTTTTTTTTAATGGAATAAACTATGCTTGACTAGAACAGAGCAGACGCATCAGAAGCACTGTTTTGTGGGCAGAGTTTGTTTCCAGACTGGATCACGATGTAATGAAGACTCTTGAGCATGGACCACGGCGTGAGGAGCTCTGGACCAGCAGGTGCATTTGGGAGACACTGGGCCAGGAGCCCCCGGCTCCAGTCTGGGGCCCCCAAGACTGGACTCTGCTGTTTGGACGAGTCGACTGACCTGTAACCTTCCTGGGCAGAGTCTCCTCTTCTGCAGAGGGGGTGCCGGTGCCTCTCCGGCCTTGAGGGCTGAATCAGGACACAGTAGCCTTTGTAGCTGGGCCAGGTCTGGAGCAGAAGCCTGCTGGTGGGGACTCAGCTTAGTGGGGCACCTGCTGCTGAGCTGCGAGGGGCTGCCAGCTGCCCAGGTGATGCCAGCTCCTGGCTGTCCTGGGGCTGCAGGCTGCACAGATGCCCTCAGCCGGAGCCCAGTGAGGGGCAGGGGCCCCGGCCCTCTTGTCCTCGTGGCAGTCCCTCTGAATGCCCGCCTGTGCTGAATTCACCGGGATCTTGTCCCTATCACGCTCGGATTCCAGGAGGGGGACAGACAAGGAGTCAAAACGCTGTGAACCCAGAGCGATTGGCCTGAGTCAGGAGGATTCCCGGGGTGCTGTGGGAATAGCACCTCATAGCCTGCCTGAAGGTCAGGGCGGGCTTCCTGGAGGAGGTGGTGCCGGAAGCAGGTCCCAGGTCTCTACACCGCCATCCTGTTTCCTCTAACACTGGGGTCCCTGAGCCAGGTCATGTCCCTGCCCCTGCTCTGGAGTCTTCCCCAAGTTCTGGCTATGCTCAGGACTGCTCTTCAGCCGGGCCTGTCAGCACCCCTGTGCTGTCTGTCTGACCGTGTGTGTCTGTCTGTCTGACCATGTCCCTGTCCCTCCCTTCCCCAGGTTAGGCCAAAGACTCTGATCCCAGACAGCCTCCCCGTCACCCCAGGCCGGGACCGGCCACCCAAGCAGCCCCCAACATTCCAGAAGGCCACCGTGGTCAGTATCAAGAACCCCAGCCCCGCGCTCCCCACCGCCAACAACACCGTGAGCCATGTGCCAGCGTCCAGCAGCCAGCCCCGGGCCCTGCCCGAGCCCGCCACCGTCAGCTCTCCTCTGAGCGGCGCCGGGGTGGCCTACGCCATCATCTCCACCGCCCCCAGCAATGCCGCGGCCATGGCCCCCAGCACCGCCGTGTCCGTGGTCAGCGACAGTGTCAAAGTCCAGCCCCTCCTCATCAGTGCGGACAACAAGGTGAGGGTGGGCTCCCCGCGGGGCCAGTTGACGGGGGGCCGGGCAGCGTGAGTGACCGGACGGCGGAATGATCAGTGGCCGAGCGAATGGATGGAGTGAGGGCGGAGGGGTGAAGGAACAGTGAGACTGAAGCAATCAGTAAGGGAATGAATGGGGGTGGGGTTATAAATGAATGAACGAGGCGGTGGTAGGATGAATGGTGTATGAATGAGGGATCGAGTGAATGAATCGGTGCGGGAAGAAGGTGGGGTGCAAGGGAGTGAATACGTGAGTGGAAGACTGTGTGGCTCGGGGCTTTCCAGGTGGTGCGGGGGGCACAGGTTTGATCCCTGGTCGGAATCTAAGATCCCGCATGCCTTGCGGTGTGCACACCCCCCCCAAAAAAGGGAAAAGAAGACCGTGTGGCTGAATGAATCAATACTCATGGGAAAAGAATAATGCCTCGACGGATGAAGTATTTCATTCATTGGAATGATTAACTAGCTAATAAAATGTGTGGCTGAGTGGGTGGCTGGGAGAGTCCCTGCTGATGGAGGGAGGGAGTCGAGGACTTTCTAGGCTCCGGTTGCCGCCTCTGTGATTCCCCCCTCCTCATTCCTCTATGATCCTGCAATTCCAGGCCCCGTTCCCAAAGTGGGTGGACACACCTGGCCCCCATTTCTGCAGCCCTGCCCACAGGGGCCCCTCCAGCTCCCCCTCACCCCTCCACCCCGTCTTCCAGGTCATCATCATTCAGTCTCAAGTGCAGCCGCAGCCTGAGAACACCGCGGAGTCGCGGGCGCCCACGGAGGAGCCGTCTCGGGGGTCTCAGGCCAGCCACAAGAGGAAGGAGGAGCGGCCCCCGAGCCAGGAGAACCCCGAGGTGGGTGGCGGTGGTCTGGGGGCCGCTGTAGGACGTGCCCCCAGGGGCTGGGGCGGGAACTGGCCCCGTGAGCTGAGGTCCCGCTGTTTCATGTCCCAGTCTTGCCGGCTGAGGGGCCGTGTGGGGCAGTGGTGAGCTCCGACCCTGGACCAGTCTGCCTGGCTTGGCCTCCCAGCCCGGGAGTGCTGTGGGCGGAGGGCATCACATCTGTTTCCTCATCTGTGAGATGGGAGGGGTGAGTCTGCCTTCCCGGCAGCGTTGTTGGGAGGATCCCACAGTCCGTGTCCACTGAGGTCCTGGAAGCATGTCTGGGCGCTTCTGGCTGTCACCCCACACCCCCGAGCCTGGCTGTTCCCGCATCACGTCCCCCTGTCCTCAGGACCCCCCGTCCAGGGGACGGCCCTGCTCTTGGCAGCACGTGACCCTGAAGCAGTCCTGCTCCTCCCTCCACCCCACTGTTTACCGAATGACTGAAGGCAGCCCAGGAGGACCCTGCAGGCCTTAGAAGTCAGCTGTTTATTGAACTTCTGGTCACAGCAGATGGCGTCCTTGTGTTCCTGCTGGCATCCTCAGCCATCCTGGGCCAGAATCACCCCCTCCGGGCGTGTTTCCTTGTGACTGCCCCTACCTGGCCCCCGTTCCTCTCCCTACGGACTGTGTTGTCTTACAAGATCACCTTCAGAAACCATCTCCTCCAGGCAGCCTTCCCTGACCACCTACCACCAGCAGACCCCTCTGGGCAGCCCAGGAGGACCCTGCAGGCCTTAGAAGTCAGCTGTTTATTGAACTTCTAGTCACAGCAGACGGCGTCCTTGTGCTCCTGCTGGCATCCTCAGCCATCCTGGGCCAGAATCACCCCCTCCGGGCGTGTTTCCTTGTGACTGCCCCTGCCTGGCCCCCGTTCCTCTCCCTACGGACTGTGTTGTCTTACAAGATCACCTTCAGAAACCATCTCCTCCAGGCAGCCTTCCCTGACCACCTACCACCAGCAGACCCCTCTGGGCTCTTCCAGCTCCTTGTGGTTCTTTTTTCAGAGCGCTGACATCTAAAGAAGTCATTCATCCATTCATCCAGTCATCTGTTTGTCAATTACATCTCAGCCTTTGCTGCAAGCCAGGCTCTGGGCTGAGGGTGGGGGCAGTGAGACAGGGCAGACGTAGTTAGTCTGAGCACGAGGGACGCTCACTCCTACCGCCAGACACAGGCACGGCCATTCGGACTTGAACCTGGGTTAGAATAAATGGCCGGTGTTGTCAGAGAATTACAAGTTCTGAGCTGTGGGAGATCCAGGGAGAAGGAGGGCTTCCCAGGTGGCGCTAGCGGTAAACAGCCTTCCTGCCAATGATGAGAAATCAAGAACTGCAAGTTCAATCCCTGGGTGGGGAAGATCCCCGGGAGGAGGGCATGGCAACCCACTCCAGTATTCTTGCGTGGACAGTCCCATGGACAGAGGAGCCTGGCGGGCTACAGTCTGTGGGATCGCAGAGTCAGACACGACTGAAGCGACTTAACACACAGGGAGAGGGAGAAGGCCTTGGAGGGGAGGGGTGTGATCACCAGGCTGGGAACAGATAGGGTTTCGGGGGAAGAACGAGTGGCAGGGGGATGGCATGTCAGCTGGAGGGCACTGCCCAGGCAGTCACGTGGACATGCGGAAAGGACTCAGCACACCCTGGAAAATCAGCCAGTCTCTTTGGACTCTGGGTAGCACATGTGGGTGAGAATTTCTGAGAATGTTCTTCAGTCACTCAGTTGTGTCTGACTCTTTGCGACCCCATGGACTGCAGCAGGCCAGGCTTCCCTGTCCCTCTCTATCTCCTGGAGTTTGCTCAAACTCATGTCCACTGAGCCAATGATGCTACAGAGAACTTCTCGACATGGGGTTAAAGATGGACGTCGGAGGCTGATTCTGGAAGACCCGGATGCAGGTGGCCAAGGAGGAACTTCATTCCTTGGGTAGTAGGGAGCCATGGAATGTCTTTGAGCAGGAGAGTGACTTGGTTATCATCCTGGGACACACCCAGAAAGCCTGTTGGGAATTGGTAGAGTGGACTCCTCACCACGGTTGAGATGCAGCCAGTCTGCTCTGAGGCTGCAGGCCCAATCTTGTCTTGAGAAAAACAGTCCGTTCTGTTTGGTGGCAGTGAATGAGCACCTACTGTATGCGAGGTGGGGCTGAAGGGCCGGGTCACAGCTCAAGTTCCCATGAGCACCCTTCTGTCCTCCGATGGGTTCTCTGCCTCCTTCATATTCAGAAAGGTTTTCTGGGTGGCATCGCTTTGTTCTTTCAAAGTATATCTTAGTCAATTATTGTGCATTTATACAATTAGTATAATTACATCTAACTACATAATTAGCATAAATACATGTAATGACTTAAATAGAACTTGCAATTACAACACGTCCTGGTATAAAAATCCTTATTAAAATTGCTTTTAGAAGAAGGCTGGAGCCGTTGTGTTGCACAGACGCAGGCTTCCCAGAGGCCTTTGAACCTGTTTGTGAAGAACCTAAGTCAAGAGTGCTGGAGGCCAGAGCAGCAGCTGCCCCAGAAATGTCCCTGGATGCGCCAGTCATGGACTCAGGGGGCCAGGGGTGGGCGTGGATTGGGGCTAAAGAGACACCGACCGGGGCTGGTAAGGCTCAGCTGTGTGGTGGCTTCCAGGGCAGTGGCTGTTGAGGTCCCAGTGTCTGCACGCCCCGCACGCACAGTCTTTGGAGCCCACGGCTGCCTGTGAGGTGAGCTGGGCTCGGGCACACGACGCGACAGCATCCACACGAGGCATGGAAGGGACCCGGGGCAGTAACACCCCGCTTCCCTGCCGAGTGACCCTCCATTACTAACCATGCTTACTCCCCTGCTCGCCCGCATCCTCCCAGCTGCTCTGCGAGGTGGATGGGGCAGAAGTGACCGAGTTCACCGTACAGATGAGGAGACGGGCTCAGAGAGGTCGGCGTGTCCGCGGTCACCCGGCTGTGCGCTCAGCCGGGACGGACCCTGGACGCCCGGCTCCTGCCCCAGGCTCGGCCGGTTCCATCCCGTCCCAGAGTCCCTGGCTTCCTCGGGACAGAGCCTGGCCTTTTCTGTGCTACTCATTTCCCTGGCCCTGGGCAGCATCTGACCAAACTGGTCACTCTTAGATTAGTCTGTGCCCCATGGAATGGCAGCTAGAGCAGGAGTTCTGGCCCTGTTCCAGCCTGGCCCCAGCCCTGGCCAAACCCTAGTCACAGCCACAGTCCTGGCCATAGACACAATCTCAGCGGACCACAGCCCTGGCCACAACCCCAGCCCCAGCCCAAACCACACCCCAGGCCACACCCCCAGCCCCAGCCGCGGCCACACCCTCTGCTGCAGCCTAGGCCACACCCCCAGCCACAGCCATGGCCACACCCCCAGCCACAGCCATGGCCACACCCCCAGCCGCAGCTGGGCCACCTGTCCGGGCAAGACCCATGCACTTGGATGCTCCTTCCTTCCCTGCCACTCCTGCCACAGCCCCCGTCCCTGCCTCCCCTCTGCCCAGGCTCCCAGCCCCTAGACAGTTCTCTGCAGCCAGAAGGATCTTTCTACAATTCACCAGAAATAGCAAAGTCACCCCCCCTTGTTTTTAAAAGTGTTTTCCAGCTTTATCGAGATGTAATTGGCATATAACCTTGCATAAGTTTAAGTGCACAACATAATGATTTGAGATACGTATATATTGCAACAGGAGCACCACAGTAACTGCAGTTAGCATATCCATTGTTACCTCCACGGTTATTTACTTTTGTGTGATGAGCACTTAGTTTTCAAATCTAATCTCAGCAGCCTTCACATTTATAGTAGGGTACTGTTAGCTTTAGTCACAAGTACATTATTTATTGTAAAACTGGAAATTTGTAGTTTGTGATCACCATCACAGCCCAGAGGAGCGAAGGAGACAGGATGACTTATGTCTTGTGGGATCCTGGAAGAGCGAAAGAGCATTAGATAAAAACTAAGGAAACCCCCAAATAGAAAAGCTGGGCTAACCCTTCTCTGTTGCCTTCCCTCAGAAAATCGCCTTCATGGTTGCGCTGGGCCTGGTGACGACGGAACACCTGGAAGGTGAGGACCCTCGCGGTGGGGCTGGGCCTGACTGCGGGGTGGGTGGGTCAGCTGGCTGACTTGGCATCAGACGGAAGCAGTGGGTCTCAGGTTCCCTGTCAGAAGTGACCCACCTTCTGCGAGGTCGGTGCCGAGTGCATGGCTGTCATCACCGAGACCAAGGAGCCCAGCTGCTCTCCCGGCTTGACTCTGGACAAAACCCTCTGTGTGTCATTGGAGGGACTTTGTGTGTTCGCTGCCCCCCAGTTGGAGGCAGCACCATGAAGTGATAAGATCGGGGTGCTCAGCTGTGCCATGACTGACAGCTCAAGCTTGGGCAAGTCACCCAGCTCCCCTGGGCCTTAGTTTCTCCATCTGTAAAATGGGATAATAGCCAACTCTTCCTCCTGGGATTCTTGCATAGAACCAAGAGGAGCAGCAGCCACCTCCCCTCTGTCAAGTTGGCCTGTGGGCTCTTGTCCGCCCCCAGACTGGTCGGTGGAAATCAGCACATTGAGTAGACAGGTCAGCATGACACTTACAGGTGCTGTTTGACTCTACCGATGAGAGCAGCTACAGATGAGCTCTGGGCATCGTCATAGAATCTCGGGGCCTAGGAAGCAGAAAACCAACCTTCTCGTGGCACGTGTGGGGAAGCGGAGGCCAGAGAAGTTGATTCACTTGCTCAGGGTCACACAACTAGTCACTGTCGGGCCCAGGATGGAACCAGGTCTCCTGACTCGCAACCCAGAGTGTTTTTCCACAATTCCGACCTCACTGCTAAAGACATTTTATAAAGTGAGAACACTCCTACACCCCAGGGAGACCTGGATTCAGGAAGGAAAACTAGATTGCTCTTCCTTCTTAAAATTGAGGGACGGAAGGGAGTGAACTGAATACCCCAGTGCCCGAGGCACTAACCAGCTCTCATCTCGGGAAGTTTCTCTCCAGGACAGCACATGAAGCCAGGGGGAGGGAAGGGCCTTGGTGAGGTCACCCCGTGCCCGGCCGAGTCTAGGTGGGTGGGTCCAGGCCTTTCCACGGCAGCTGGGGTGTAGGTGGTGGGAAGGGACAGGGGCATGGCCCGGCCACTCAGATACCCTGCTACATGGACCTGACCCCAGTGGGAATGTCCCATCCGAGGACCCCTCCTCTCATGCCCCCATTGCCTTCTTGGAAGGAATTCTGTCAATGTCTGAATCCACCTGCTTGAACTTGAGTGTAGGGAATCTGACTGTGAGTGGCGGCCTTTGAGAGCTGTTTCTGCTCTGTCTTTGGGGCCGTGGAGGCAGCCTGGGCCAGTGGAATTAGCCCCAACAGTCATGTTGGAAGTCCCGTGTTCAAGTCCTGGCCTTGCTGCTTAGAGCTGGGCGACCTTGCGCCAACTCCTTCCCCACTCGGAACCTCAGTCTCTTCATCTATGACATGAGGAAAACCACTTCCTCGGACTTTGCAGGGTTGTCATGACGACTGAGCTAAAAGCACTCTGCAAATCTATTTGCGAGTGTTATAATTTGTATAAACAGTCCTCATTTTGCAAACTCTGCTCCCTCCTGCCTATGATACCCCAAATATTTGTGTGTATGTTTATTTGGACCCTAACTTGTTCCGCAGAGGGTCTGAGATGCCTTATGGGACACACACGAATAATATTGGGACAGTTTCAAAGGAGAAATCAGATCCGAGAAACAAAGACTAGGATATAAAGTCAAAATAGCTACAGACAGAGAGACAGGGCACACCTGGCAGTCAGAGCAAAAGGGAGAAAGAAAAAGGGAGGGAAAACCCAGTTCTCAAACTGCAGGAGGCTCACCATGCCAGGCCCCACAGGGAGGACCGTGTTTATTGTCAAGAGGGCTGGGCTGGCTGAACTGAGCGGGCACCTGCCTTCCCAGGAGCCCTCAGCCTCACTCTGAAGCTCAGTCTGGACACAGTCTGACCATCAGGCACCGGCTGTCCTAAGGGTCCCAAGAGAGACGTCCCCAGACCAGAGTATGGTTCTGGAGAATGGCACATGGGGCTGTGCTGAGAGCGGGTGCCTGGACTCTGGGCATCCCCCACCCTCCGCCCAGTCCGGCCTTCGTCCTGAGGCCAGCAGCTCTGTGCTGCCTCAGAGCGAACAATTCCAGAGCCCCCAGCCCACTCAGGGCCACTCTGGGGCCCAGATGCTGGGCAGAGAGGCTACGGGGTAGAAGGCGGTACCCAGGGTTCGTAGAGGAAGCATCCAGGGTTCCCAGGGCAGGAAGACCGCCATAACCGCTGCATCTGGGCCTTTCCAGAGATCCAGAGCAAACGCCAGGAGCGAAAGCGGAGAAGCACAGCCAACCCTGCCTACAGCGGCCTCCTGGAGACAGAGGTGAGGGGCCCGCCACCCGCACACCTGGCAAGGGGTTGGGGGGGAGGCTCCCTGGGGCCGGCCTCCTCACCTGCCCCTCCAGATTAGAGCTCAGGGCGTACAGTGAACAGCCCTGACCTCCTGGGTTCAGAATCTGCTGAGAGACAGGCAGAGGACCGCTGTGTCAGTAGCTTCTCAGGCGGGCTGCCCCCGGGCTGGGGCTGGATGTGGATGGCGGCCGGCTCCCTTTCTTCGTCCCGATCATCCAGCATGAGGTCTGGTCGCAGGCAGTGCTGGCCCCTGGTCCTCCTGGGACCCCTCGGGCCCAACCGGAGCCCGGCCGGCTCAGCCCAAGCTCCTGACTCAAGAGAGACCACAAAGAGGAGGGCCTGGGCGGGGCTGGGGCTGAGCGAGACTGGGGAGAAGGGTTGGCTGGAGGAGGGGAGGGAGTGGCCGTGACTTCACTGAGTTCCCTCTGTGGGCAAGGAGAGACTGGGCCTAGCATGCCCGCCTTCCCCTCCCCCTGAGCCCCAGTTGCCTTCACGTAGCTCTGAGTGCTTCTCCATATGGGCAGTGTGCACTCCCCTCCGATAGCTGAAACTGGTCAAATAGGGTGTGACAGTTAACTCCAAGGGAGGGAATGCCCCCTTCATCCAAATCACATCCAACACACCCCCCACCCCCAACCCGAGGTCAGCTGCAGCCCTACTAGGAGGTGATGAGAGTCACCAAATGCCAGTCGGTGATGCCGTTTAAGGACGCAGCCCAGGGAGCACCCGGCCCCTCCCAGCATCGCATTCCCAGGTAGCAACTGAATCCAAAATGGGATCGCCTTGCCCGTGCACATCAGAGTCCAGGATTCTCAACTTGAATCCAGATGTCATCTCCTAGAAACCAGATCTGCTGGGGCTGCAGATGCTCTGGGCTTTCCTGCAAAAAACGCCCTGGAATCTTGCCCTGAAAGGGAAGCTGTTTCATGAGGGCCCTGGAGTCAACTCCCCTCCGATAGCTGAAACTGGTCAAATAGGGTGTGACAGTTAACTCCAAGGGAGGGAATGCCCCCTTCATCCAAATCACATCCAACACACCACCCACCCCCAACCCGAGGTCGGCTGCAGCCCTACTAGGAGGTGATAAGAGTCACCAAACGCCAGTCGGTGATGCCGTTTAAGGACGCAGCCCAGGGAGCACCCGGCCCCTCCCAGCATCGCGTTCCCAGGTAGCAACTGAATCCAAAATGGGATCGCCTTGCCCGTGCACATCAGAGTCCAGAATTCTCAACTTGAATCCAAATGTCATCTCCTAGAAACCAGGTCTGCTGGGGCTGCAGATGCTCTGGGCTTTCCTGCAAAAAACGCCCTGGAATCTTGCCCTGAAAGGGAAGCTGTTTCATGAGGGCCCTGGAGTCAGGTGGCCCCCCTGAAGTGGAGCCAAGTTTGCAGAGCCCCAGGCCCTGGCACACTGGGGAGGCCAGTGAAGGCCTGGGGGGCCCGGAGGAGGACAGGAAGAGGCTGCGCTTGCTTCCCTCGGGGAATTCTTGAGTTGGGGCCAGTTGTCCCACATCTGCAGCTCACAAGCTGGACCTCACCGGGAGGGGACGCCCATGGGTGCCCTGTGGGGAGAGCACCCTGTGTCTCTGTCGCCTGCTCCCCAGCCCACCTGCCTGTCCTCGCTGGTACCTTCCCGACTCCCGCTCAGCACACACGCATGTTCACACCCGCTCACTTCCTCCCTGACTTGCTGAGCACGCTGTGTCCTGAGACAGTGCCCTGAGCACTGGTCCCCATTTATGAGAGGCACCAAGCTGTTCCTCCATCTCCAGCCACAGAAACGGCGTGTCCTCTATGCAGGACGGGCACCGTCCCCTTGGTTGTGCTCATGATGGATGCGCCCCCTGCTCTGGGGGCCAGGCCATAACCTCGTCTCCGAAGTCTGTGGCCTTGACTTTTCCGGTCATTTTCTTGACCGGAAATGACCTGTTTAGTGAATCTGGAGCTGATGCAAAGCCCTGTGACCCTGAGCGCTGACACACATGTGGCTCTGTGGATCTCTCTCGACCTGAACGCAGCCCAAACATGTTGAGAGAGACAGATTTACCACCCATCATTCAAGTCTACAGCCATCATCTTGCCACAGCCAAAGCCGCCTTGAACCACCAAGGTCTTAACCCACATGGCCTGTCGTTGCTAAAGCCCAGGACTGAAGTTACCTTATGGAGTGTACTGGAAACTTCTTCCGTTTACATGTGATGAGCCAAGGGCCACTCTTTGTTGTCAGCTTCCTGGATGTCATGCTAAGAAGTGGGGTTTGGGGAGCCAGTCCCTCTTGTGCCTCGTTTCGCCACCTGAGCCTAGAACCTGCTGAGAAAGAAGGCTCAGGAGGCAGACGGATGGACGGCCAGATGTCCGCNTGTACTGGAAACTTCTTCCGTTTACATGTGATGAGCCAAGGGCCACTCTTTGTTGTCAGCTTCCTGGATGTCATGCTAAGAAGTGGGGTTTGGGGAGCCAGTCCCTCTTGTGCCTCGTTTCGCCACCTGAGCCTAGAACCTGCTGAGAAAGAAGGCTCAGGAGGCAGACGGATGGACGGCCAGATGTCCGCTTCATTACTGATTTGCCCCACCTGGATATCTCTAGCCGTCCTTCCTGAAAGAGGCAGGAGTGATCACGGGAGCCGCGATGGCCCTGTCGGGCAGAGCCTTTGCTGGCTTTTGCCCTGGCTGACCTGCCTCTCCCCTCCCCCACGCTCACGTTTGTCCCCGTTTCTGCCCCTGGTCTCGGGTGTCCGGCTGGAGTCCAGAGCCCAGGGTGGGGAGACCATCCCAGGTGAGTCCTGGGCCGGGTCCGTGTCAACCGAGGAGGGCCCCCTGTCATTCAGTTTGGTTTTCTGTCTCTGCAGAGGAAGCGACTGGCGTCCAACTATCTCAACACACCCCTGTTCCTCACAGCAAGAGGTAAGGGCTTCTCCTGCAGGGCGGCTGTGGGGCTGGGCTGGGCCGCACCTCCTTGCGCGGGCCGCCGCCTGGCTACCCGGCCTGCCCCGTCTGCAGCCACGGCTGGACAGCTGCTCTCCAGTGGGCAGCACATCACAGCTCCCCGGGCCCTCCGCGCCCCGCTGCCCTCACGCTCACCTGGCACATTACCTCCCTGAGCCTCGGTGTGCTGGTCTGTGTAAAACCAGCCCTTGACAGTGCTGGCCTCTCAGAGCTGGGCCAGGGACAGCAGGGTGAACGTGACAGCACTGTGTGACTGTCGAGTGCGGTGCACACACAGGAGCTGTTCTTCCCACTCGACAGTATAATTTCCAGAAATTAGAAGGAAAACTATTTTTGAGATCATTAAATTATGTGGTTTGGCCATCCCTCACTGGAATGGAAGTGGGTTATGGTTGGAAGTGAATTGACAGTGAGTCACTTTGAGAGATCCCTAGACCGATGTTTTCTCCACTGGACAGCTCACTGCTGTCATGTTCCTCAGGGAGCTTAGGGGCCATGATGAACCTCTTTCTTGATGGGTTCTGGCCATGACCAGGGCAGAGACTTTACTCCCATGATGCCCTGGGTGAGGGCCCATGAGTCACTGGGGCCTGAGATACTCCCAGCATGCCCCTGGTGAGGACCCAGGAGTCACTGGGGCCTGAGATACTCCCAGCATGCCCCTGGTGAAGACCCAGGAGTCACTGGGGCCTGAGATACTCCCAGCATGCCCCTGATGAGGACCCAGGAGTCACTGGGGCCTGTGATACTCCCAGTATACCCCTGGTGAAGACCCAGGAGTCATTGGGACCTGAGATACTCCCAGAATACCCCTGGTGAGGACCCAGGAGTCACTGGGGCCTGTGATACTCCCAGCATGCCCTGGGTGAGGACCCAGGAGTCACTGGGGCCTGAGATACTCCCAGCATGCCCCTGGTGAAGACCCAGGAGTCAGTGGGGCCTGAGATATCCCAGCATGCCCCTGGTGAGGACCCAGGAGTCACCGGGGCCTGTGATACTCCCAGCATACCCCTGGTGAGGACCCAGGAGTCATTGGGACCTGAGATACTCCCAGCATGCCCTGGGTGAGGACCCAGGAATCACCAGGGCCTGAGATACTCCCAGCATGCCCTGGGTGAGGACCCAGGAGTCACTGGGGCCTTTGATACTCCATCATACCCCTTCCACACTGGACTTTGTGGACTCTAGTCCTGATCGGTGCTCCCCACGGCCACTAACATGTTCTCCGCCCTTCTTCCCTGTGCTAGCCAATGAGGACCCCTGCTGGAAGGTACGTGTCCCTTGGTCTTCACACCTGGGTGGGTGGGACATGCTTTCCATAGTGCCCAGGTAGGGTCACTCCTGGCAAGGGATCGGGGCCCCCAGTGTCCTGCTGCTGTGAAGTGGAGTGGTGGGTCTGGGCCCCACCCTCGGTGCTGAGGGCTTTGTACAGCACCAGTCCACTTTCCAGCCTGCCCCACAGAGTCGGGCATCACCACAGGGCTCAGCCCACAGTTCAAGCAGGAGCCCTCCAGACGCAGGGGCCCCTGGAGCTGTGACAGCCCACAGGGCAGCAGCTGATGCTGAGGGCCAGGGGGTTGTCTGGCCCTCACTGGTCCTCGTTCCCCACCTCATTAGGGACTGGACTCAGATCTCAGGGTCCCACCCCATACACCTACGTTTCTGTGACCCTTTGAAACCCCACCCAGCACACACACACCACGCCCCTGCTTCCCAGGGTGTTTGCTGAGTTCTTCAGAGTTTATTCAGTGTTTTTCTTTACTAAGTTACAGATCTAGTTCTAAATTTCCGGTCCCTTTGTGCCACAGTAAGCCACTAAAAAGCAACATGTGATGACATTTCCATTAGACCATGTTGTTTGCAGCCCTAACCCTGTGGTGTCGTGGGTCCATGCCAGCGGGGGTAACGTTTATCCACAGCCACCCTGTGCCTGGACAGCCAGGGCATGGGGACCAGAGGTGCTGTGAGCCTGAGTCCTGCTGCGAGGAGCCCACAGGCCTGGGGGCCTTGGCTTTGAGTCAAGAGACAGGGATGCTCCTCCTGGTTTGCAGGCCCATGCTCACCTCACTATCCCCTGTACTTTGGGCTTAGTCCTCTCTCCCAGAGCTGCTGAAAACCCTGGCGGAAGAGCTGGGTCCCAGGCAGGTTGGGCTGGCAGCTGCCTGCCCCCCGCTCCTACTCCCAGTCTGCTGACCCGCCTCCCACCCTTCCATCTCTTCCAGAATGAGATCACCCACGATGAGCTCTGTGCTGCCTGCAAGCGAGGGGCCAACCTACAGCCCTGTGGCACGTGCCCGGGGGCCTACCACCTCAGCTGCCTGGACCCGCCCCTGAAGACAGTGCCCAAGGGCGTGTGGGTGTGCCCCAGATGCCAGCAGAAGGTATGGGAGGCTGTGTCCGTGTGTGGGCGACCCGACCCTCACCCTCTCCCTGAACTCCAGGGCCCTCCCTCACCGGGCACATCATCTAAGGCTGCTTAAACCATCCCTGCTTCCTGGATCATCCCCACCGTGAGCAGAGACGGGGAGGGCCAGGCTGGGGCGGGTTGAGGGGCAGGGGGTGAGAAGAAGGGCTGAGTAGAGAACCAGGCTTTGCAACCTCAGCACAACTGACCTTTGGGACGGGATGATTGTTGTGGGGGGCTGTCCTGTGCGCGTAGGGTGTTCAGTGGTGCTCCTGGCCTCTGCCCAGTAGATGCCAATCATAGCCCCCATCATGGCCATCTCAGACACTGCCGGTTGAGGACCATGGGTGTACAGTGAGCAGAGGTGTCCCTCTGCAGCTGACTTAGTGATTCCAACTTAGTGTACTAATAACACAAACCACAAAAAATAGCACCAGGTAACACGTTAGAAAGTCGCTCAGTTGTGTCCAACTCTTGTGACGCCATGGACTATACAGTCCTTGGAATTCTCCAGGCCAGGATGCTGGAGTGGGTAGCTTTTCCCTCCCCCAGGGGATCTTCCCAACCCAGGGATCAAACGCAGGTCTCCCACGTTGCAGGCGGATTCTTTACCAGCTGAGCCACAAGGGAAGCCCAGATCTTACTGATAGCAACATGCAAATGAAAAACCATCAAGTTAGCAAAAATGGTAACATTCCCTTCTGGCAATGATGTGGTGAAATGAGCACTCTTAGACGTTGCCTTAGTAATGTGCACGCCCTTTAAACCTGGCGCCTTGCTTCAAGCAGAACCTATGGGACAGTTCAATGCACGAAAGTCCTCTGCGGAGAGAAGTTCCTCAGCTTTCCTTCATGAAAGGGAAGAAAATAGGGCAGCCTGGCTTCCCCACAGAGAGTTGGTGAAGTAGATTCTGGCACTTTACTCAGAGAGATATTATGGGGTCACTGAAAATTATATTTTTTTACAAGGATTTGGGGATTCTTTGGGACTTGTTCACTATGTGGGATTACGTTTTTAAAAAATTAAAATAAAAAAAAACAGGTTTTGTAGCTGCTGTTTTAGTTTGATCATTAGCCATCTGACTGAGAAAAACAGGGTGCAGAATAGAAAACCTGGGCGAAAATACTTTTAGGTGTTAACATTGTGTGTGGCTGGGTGGTGGGAAATTTCAACGCTGTTCTAACAGTATGCTTTTCTATAGAGTGTGTTACTTGTAAAATCATTGGGGAATCCTCTTTATTTCAATGAGGAAGCTTCTTTATTTCAAAGAACACTCTTGTTGAGTTCCCATTGTACTGGGTTTTGTGGGGACCTGAGGAGATGGGGGTGTGGCAGCCCAGAGAGCTCGTGCCCGTGCCCCTGTCCCCCCGGTCCCCCCGCCCCAGGTTCCTCAGCCGGAGCGCGGCAGGCCCTGAGCTGTCCGCTGGCTCAGTCCCCCATCTGCCCTCCAGGCCTTAAAGAAAGATGGAGGTGTGCCCTGGACCGGGATGCTGGCCATCGTGCACTCCTACGTCACCCACAAGACAGGTGAGACACCTGGGCAACTGGGAAGGGGCAGCGACGCCCTTCTGTTCAACCCCGCCCTCGGACTGCTGGACTCACTTTGGGCCCAGCAGAGGCTGTTCTGATCCAAAGCTCTGGAAGGAGGGAGCCTGGGACTAATCCTGAGTGGACCCGGCAAGAGCCTCTGGCTCCTGCAGGAGGATGTGGCCAGAGTGACCTCTAGGGCCGGACCCAGGACTCTTCCTGCCTCTCCTGCTCAGCCTCGGCCCAGCCCCGGCTGACCTGCTGCTCCCCGTGGGGCCTGGAACCCAGGCCCTTTCCTAGTCCTCCCTCTCTCCTAGTCAAAGAAGAGGAGAAGCAGAAGCTGTTGCAGAGGGGCAGCGAGCTCCAGAGCGAGCACCAGCAGCTGGAGGAGCGGGACCGGCGCCTGGCCTCGGCCGTGAAGGTGTGCGGCGCGGGCGGGTCTGCCTGGGCACCACGGGGTGTCGCAGACCAAAGCGTTGCTCTCTGGCTACTGAGGCCCCAGAGAGGACGGACTCAGCAGTGTCGTTCAGGGGGTCAGCAGGTGGAGAGGGCAGCTCTGCGACTCCGTAGACACATAGTTATCAAGCAGCTGGACATCTGGCTCTGCTCCTTCTCAGCTCTGTGACCTCGGCAAGGCCCCGTCTCTGAACCTCAGTTTCTTCTTGTATAAAGGAGACATGGTGGTTTCTTCTCTGTAGAGTGGTGGTAAATGGTGATGATGGCGGTGATGGTGATGATGGTTGTAGTGATGATAGTGATGATGGTGAAGATGTAGTGATGGTAGTGGTACTGGTGGTGATGATGGTGGTGATTGTGATGATGATTTTGATGATGGTGGTGATGATGGTGGTAATGGTAATGATGGTGGTGATGGTGATGATGATTTTGATGATGGTGGTGATGATGATGATGGTGATGATGTAGTGATGGTAGTGGTACTGGTGGTGATGATGGTGGTGATGGTGATGATGATTTTGATGATGGTGGTGATGATGGTGGTAATGGTGATGATGGTGGTGATGGTGATGGTGATGACAGTGATAATGTAGTGATGGTAGTGGTGATGGTGATGAATTTGGTGGTGATGATGGTGGCAGCAGTGTCAGGCCCTGGTAAAACTCCTTAAATGTCATATTTCATTTAATCCTCTCAATAACTCTGTGAAGAGGCCCTATGATTATTCCTATCTTGGAGTTTTGGACACAACCTCAGGAAGTTGAAGTTATTTGCCTGAGCAGCAAATGATTCAAATTCTAACTACTTTACTGTGATGCCATGAAACCTGAAAGGCTAGAAAAAGCCGTGAACACAGCAGGCAAGAGAAAGAGCAGAGAACTGGCCAGCAAGCTCAAGGTCTTTCCGAGGGGCTGCAGTTGAGCCAGAGCAGGCTCCACGCTTCCTCCAGCAGGAGGAGGGAGCGGTGTGGTCAGCTGGGAGCCCCCCACCCACAAGGGAGCACATTCCCACGTCCCTGCACACACACACCATTTCCAGCCCTGAATTTTAAACCAACTTCTCCTGTGGATCTGACTGCCATTTAATTCCTTTTTTCGCTTCTGGCTGGGGTGTGAGGCCCTCTTCCTGGTTTCTTTCAGCCTCTGCGAGGGAAGGGAGGGGCTTTGGGAGAAGGGGTTAAGTGGTGGCTACCCCAGGGGCCTGCATTACTAAGTGCTGACACCTTTCTCTCTGACACCTTCCCCGAACAGAAATGCCTGGAGCTCAAGACGAGCCTGCTGGCCCGGCAGAGGGGCACCCAGTCGTCCTTGGACCGCCTGCGGGCCCTCCTTAGACTGATACAGGGTGAGCAGATGCTCCAGGTCACCATGACGACCGCCAGCCCCACCCCACTGCTGGCAGGGCCCTGGACCAAGCCCTCAACAGCAGCCATACATTCTGCCCTCCAGCACCCCCAGGGGCAAAACTGACCCCTGAGGGGCCCGCTTCACGCACGGAAAGCCACTGGGACCCTGCTCGCAAGACCTGAGGGTTCTGTCAGCCTTAATTCATACACACTATGAATCTCAGACAAAACTAAGACCAGGAAAGAAGGGCGGAGGAGCTGAGTGAGAGTCGGGATGGAGTCCTGCCCGCTTCCCGTCAGAGGGGACGCCCGGAAGCCAGCTGGGGGTGCAGAGTCAGCTCCCCGCTGCTGGGGGTGCTTGTCCAGGCCTCCAGTTTCTGGGCACAGCTGTCTCCTCGGCCTTGAGTCACCCCCGCTCGAGAGAGCAGGGCCGAGGCGCCCTACGTGCTTGCGGGAGGGGAGCCGAGGACACGGCGTAGCTGAGTAGTAGAGCTAGTTGGAGCGAGAGGTGGGTAGCAAATCTAGGTAGACTCCGCCATCTGCCCGCCCTCACGGGGCCGCCAGGCACGCACCAGGCCTTCCGGACGCCCGCCCCGTCGTCAGTGTTATTAGCGTTCAGAATCGCAGCTGTTTAACTCGAAGGACGAAGACGCTCCGAGGGGTCGGACGCTGCTGTCGCCCGGCCTGCCTCTGTCTGGCCCCTGATCGCGGGGGCACCCTCGCCTCGCGCCTCCTCCCACCTCTGCTGACTTTTTGGATTCATCTTGCCCTCGGTGTCTCTGGGCGAGATGGCGCTGCAGCCATGCTGGGGAGGCGTTTGGCAGGTTTTCCATCTGGGGTTGAATCGTTCACCCTAACGACCGAAGCCTTTTCTTTTCTCCTTTCGAAGAGCCGATAAGATATTCCATTCCTCTTTTCTTGCCAGTACAGACACTATGCCAAAAAAATAACTTTACATTTTTGTACGGCATTTTTATTGTGAGATAATTTAATGTGAAGGGGACTTGGTGACTTCGCTTCCCGCTCACCGGGGTCTCTGCTGCCAGGGATGAAAGGAAGCCCCCTCGGGCAGAGGGGGAGGCTGCCAAACTGGAGAGGCCCAGAGCGGCTTTTAAGAAGTGGGGGGAGGGGGGAGGGAGAGAGACCAGTGGCCTCGGGAGACTGGAGGGTCCCTCTTCTCGAAGTCTCCTCAAAAGCGGAGGGAGGGTGCCCGCCGTTGTAAAAGGGCTCCTGCGCCTGGGGTGGGCTGTGCAGGCTGGTCACGCCTTGCGGCTTCTCCAGTCCCCGAGGGACTTAGAACTTAGCACAACAGGATGAGCATCTGGGAGCCATGGGGCTCCCACCCCCAGCATATCACACGGTGCCGATCGCAGTGCACGCGTGTGCGTGCGCACACGTGGCCCCAGACACGCACACACGCACGCACGATGCCAGGTGCCCGGCAAGGAGGCTGGCTGGCACCCCACACAGCCCGCTAGCGGTCCCTCCTGTCATTTCCACGACTCCGGGAGAAACTGTGCTGTACGATACAGATCTATTTTAATACACTCAACACTGGGTTGAACAAGATTTTTATATTCTTTTATTGATGAACAAAGTGAACTGTGAGACACACGTCTTATATATTGGTTACTCTAGATGCCAATTATGCATTACCGCGTGGCTTGCAATGTAAATGTCTTCAGGTTCCTTTTTTTTTTTTTAGTTGGTTGGTTTTTCTTCTCGGATGGATTGAATTCTGTTTTTAAAGAAATTGTTAATGGGAGGATGTGAAAGGTTGGACCCGGGAGGGGTAGCTGCCGATGTGTCCTGAGACTTAGTTTCTTTTTGGACCAGGGAGGACCGTCTGATGGCTAGTGAGGATAGAGAAACAGTGTTTGTCTTAAATATGCCGATGTAGTTTCCTTCTTACGATGCATTAAACTCGATGGATGGTTTCAGAGCCCTGTGGTTTGTTTCCTTGCCTTCAACAGAGAGGCCTCGGGGAGTACGGGGGTGGGGGAGGCAGGGAGGTGGGGATTGGAGGGGCTAAAGGTCAGGGTCCTGCCATCAGCCCACCCCAAAGGGAGGGAAGGAAGAGAGAACCCTGAGGGGGGCCACCATGCACAGATCCCCCAACCCCGGGGGGTGCAGGCACCCCTTTTAGAGCCAGGATTGACGATGGCAAGTAACAGAAGCTCAGACCAGGCGCCGTGCGGAGCCCAGGGGCCATGTGCACACTGCTCCCCCCCTCCCCCCCCTGCCCCTCCTCTCAGGATCCACGTGACCGCTGTCTCTGCCTCCCGGTCAGCGTGGCCCCAGTCTCAGTCACACTGGGAAGCCAGACCGCCTGCATCCTTGCTCCAGATGTGATGTAGAGGCCTCTGGTTGGTCCAGCTGGGTGAGGAGCCCATCGACGGACAGTCAGCTGTGGCCAGAGAGTGGGTGGAGGACACTGACTGTCCGCTGGAGTCCCCAGCGGGGTCTGCGGCAGCCAGTGCTGTGCGTTCCCCGCCCCCCCGCTCCTCCCCTGCCCGGGCCCAGGTACCGGAGTCAGACCGCTCTGGCTCCGCTTTTGGTCCGTGTGTGGCCCCCACTCCTCCTGAGTCCTCACCGGCCTTGTCCCACCTCCTGGCTTTCTGTGTATCTGTGCTGGTGTCTCCCTAGCCTTCGTCTCCAGCCCAGACCTCTGCCATGGACTCCCGCTGCCCACGGCCAGCCCCACTGATGTCAACGGGCATCTCAGACGGCCTAGTATCCCCCAAGCCAGCCCCTCTGTCCCAGGGGAGCTCACCCTCCTGATAGCGTGGGCCGGCCTCCACCACGGTCGGTGGTCACCTGTCAGGTGTGCTTTCAGAACTGTAGCAGGTGTGCTGATTACTGTGTCACCACCCACACCGCGGCCTTGGTCTCACCATCCTCAGCCTGGACCACCGCCGCCACCGTCTCCGCACAGTCACCTCCTCCATCCCGCGCGGCCGGTGTGACAGTGCCTCTGTTAGATCCCCGCATTTCCTCCTCCCTCAGCAAAAGCTCAAGTCCTCAAGGCCGCAGGTCCTGCCTCCTCCCGCCCCTTCAGCATCCCCTCCCGCTCCACTCCACTCTCACGGCTCTGGTCTGGCCACGTGGCCTCTCTGCACCGCCTGGAACCCCCTGGGCCTGCGCCTGCCACAGGCCTCTGCACATGCGGTGTGCTCACCCATGTGCCCCTGCCCCCCGCCATCTCCCTGAGCATCTCCCCCACTCGGGGTCTTGACCACAGTCCCCTCCAGGACAGCCGACCCCAGGCCCCCTGACCAAGACCCAGCGTTTCCTCTCCTTCCTGGCTCTGACTCCTGGGACGTTCATGACCTGCCATTGGTCACCTTTGTATGGTTTTGTCCGCTTCACAGAGGCAGGGAGTTCAGAGGCTGGACATGCGAGATGAAGGTGTCAGCGGCAAGGCTGATTCCTCCTGAGGCTGCGGGACAGACTCTGCTTCTGGCCGCCGTAGACTCATCACCCGTCCCTGCTCCGCCTGACACTTCTCCCTGTGGGTGTCTGTGTCCACATCTTCCTTTTTCATCAGGACAAGTTGTACAGGATGAAGCTCCACCCCAGTGATCACACATAAACTGTGTCACCCTGCTTCCGAATCAGGTCACGTTCACAGATCCTGGGGGGCTTGGGACTTCAGCGTCTTTTGTGGGGGACACAACCCATAACAGACACCTTCTGTGGGTCCTCTGAGATCTGCTTCTCTAGGTTTCTTCGCCCAGGACCACCCAGGGCTGCCCCCCTGGCCTCGTCTTCCCCCGCGCAGCCCACGTAGTGTTGTCCTGCCCAAGACCCCGTTCTCTGATGGCCGACTGTGTGCCCGCCCCACCTGGCTCCTTCCTGGGACCTGCTCTGACATGTCAGCCCCTCCCAGGGGACTTGAAATGCCAGAACCTAAAGGGGGACACACCCAGGTCACACGGCCAGCAGGTGGCTTTATCCCAGTTCGTGGTTCCTGGACACTCTGCCTCTCTGGACGCTGGACACTGGTCACGGGGGGCCCGTGTGGATGGCTGGAAGAGGCCCTAACTAAGTCGCAGGCACGCGCACTCCGGACCCGGCTAGCTGGCCAGTCGGGGGCTGCAGATGGTGACCTGGCCCCTGGGTGGCCCCACCGAGCGTGAGGGGACAGACGAAGGGGCACAGGCTGGCCAAATGCTCCTGACCACACGCTGCCCGCCCCTGCCCTTTCAGCCCATACTGCCTGTCCCATGGGGGGGGCAGCGCTCCTTACACTAGACTCTGCTGTGCCCCCACCATCTCCCAGACCCCCCGGGGCTCCCCGAGAACAGCGCCTGCAGTGTCTGGTGATGCCGCTTGGGGGGTCCTGGTCCCCACCTCGATATCCTGCCCTCCCCTGAGCAGCAGCTCAGGCTGTGGCTGGGGGGCTCCCCAGGGACCCCCAGGCACACCCCAGGGAGAAGTCTGAGCAGGTGGCTGCAATCTGAGACTGTGAGACCACCTTGTCAGGCCACCCCACTCTCAGCCTGTCCTGCTTCTGGCGGCCGCTGCTCACCCTACCCCCATCCCTTGCCTCTGGTCCCCCGGGAGGACCCCACACCAGGCCGCAGAGAGCTAGGTGCTGGCTGTGGCTTCTGCTACCCTCACTGGCTACCTTCTGCTTGGTGAGGACCCAGCACCCACTCCAAGACTCTGGTTTCCAACAGAACGGAAGGACCCCCACCCACCCGCAGGCAGCTGTGGTCGGGTCCGTGTGGTCGTCGGGTGGCAGAGACCCATTGGTTCCAGTAGCAGCAGGCAGGTTCCTGCAGGGTCGGGAAGCCAGGCGGGGGAAGGCTGGCTCCGGGAGGGTGTGTGCGGAGGTGCTTCCACCCCCAGCTTCCCCGACCCCCTGGTGTTAAGTCAGAAGGAGGAGGGGTCCCCACCACCTCCACTGCTGGGGCTCTTCGAGGTGGAGGCATTGCCCAGAAAGCGGGGGGCAGGGGCAGCCTGGGGCGGGCCGCCTCTGGAAGCATGGCACTGGTGTCACAGCAGGCTCGTATCAGCCCAGAGAATCACTATGTGCGTCACTTCCAAATTCACAGTCACTAACTTCGCGTTTATTTCCTGACCACGCTACGTGGCATGCGGGATCCTGGTTGCCCGACCAGGGGTCGAACTTGCACCCTCTGCGGAGGAAGCACAGAGTCCTAACCACTGGACCTCCAGGGAAGTTCCTCAAAAAAATAATAGAAGTTCCTTTATTATCATCTCCATTCTCCTATTAAACTTATCCAATGGGTTTCTTTTTCTTTCCTGTTTGTAAAAGATAGTTTTAAATATTGTATTTCACTCTTACAGAATTCCCCTGTTTTTAAAGATTTCTATTTTTGTTTTTCACTGTGATTTCCTCTCTTTTCATTTACTTTAAGCATATTTTCCTTTATGAACTTGAGAGTGTGTATAATAACTGCTTTAACATCCTTGACTGCTATTTTCAACACCTGCATTATTTTCAGGTTGGTCTCCATTGATTGTTTCTTGAGGTGGCGCTAGTGGTAAAGAGCCTGCCTGCCAATGCAGGAGACATAAGAGACGTGGGTTCGATCCCTGGGTCGGGAAGATCCCCTGGAAGAGGGTATGGAAACCCACTCAGGTATTCTTGCCTGGAGAATCCCAGGAACAGAGGAAACTGGCGGGCTACAGTTCATGGGGTCACAAAGAGCCAGACACGATTGAAGCGACTTACTGTGCACACATCATTGATTATATTAGACTGGATTGCATTTTCCTGTTTCTTTGTATGATGAATAATTTTTAACTACGTCTTGGATGTTGTGGGTATTATGTTGTAGAGACCCTGGGTTCTGTTATGTTCCTTTGAAGAGTGCTGGATTTTGCTTGCTTTAGCAGGCATTGAACTTGGGCCCTAACTGCAAACTCTCTCAGCTGGTGGCTCAGACCCCACTTCAGTTCTTTTATCATTAGCTGGTGTCTGTCCTCCATTTGAGACTCAACGATCAGACAGAACTTGAAACGGGGTTTAAATGCTCAAAATACAGCCTCTCCCTGTCTGGCTCTCTCCTGTCCAGAACTCCCGACCCACCTCCTAGTGACCGTCCCAAACTCTACCCTCTGCTCTTTAAGCCAAAAAGACTGCTGTTTCCTAGTGTTGACACGGCCATTCTAACAGAATTGCCGACTTCGGCCCAGATCAGATTAAAAGCCCCACAAAGGAAGCCTGTCCGGTGCAGTCACTTCTCCAAGTGCAGACCTCCCTCGAGTCTGTCCTCACTCATTCTCCAGGGCCTTCACGTTGTTGATTTCCTGTTTGCTCACCTGTGTTCTTTTGTGGTTTGTCTAGAGTTAACAGACGTTGTTGTGGAAAAGTCAAGTCCCAGGAGAGTTAGTCAGCCACATTGGAAGCAGAACACTTGGATATACTAAGAATCCTTAGAAAAACTTGAATGTATGTGTGTGTGCTCAGAGGTTCAGTCGCGTCCAGCTCCCTGTGACTCCATGAATTATAGCCTGCCAGGTTCCTCTGTCCGTGGAGATTTTCCAGGCGAGGATACTGGAGTGGGCTGCCATGTCTTCTTTCTGGGGATCTTCCCAATCCAAGGATCGAACCCTCGTCTCTTGCATCTCCTGCTTTGGCAGGTGGATTCTTTAGCCACCTTAGAAGCCGCTTAGAAAAACTTAGACTGAAGTAAGAGTTAAAGACCACTTTCCTACTCAATTTTAAAAAAATTCCTCCTGGGACTTCTCTGGTAGTCTGGTGGTTAAGAATCTGCCTGCCAACGCAGGGCACACCGGTTCGATCCCTGCTCTGGGAAGATCCCACACGCGCTGCAGCTCTAGAACCCCACACACATTAGAGCCTGTGCTCTGAAAACAAGAGAACCCACCGCAGCGAGAAGCCTGTGCCCCACCACTAGAGACTAGTAGCCCCCACTCGCCGTGACTGAGAAAGCCTGAGCCCAGC